TTGAAAAAGGAAAAATGTTCATCATTGATCATTATGAAAATGCAAAGCAAAACCACAAATGAGATGTCACTTCATACCTACTAAATAAGCTAAAATTATAAAGACAGACAATAAAAAATACTGGTGAAAATGTGAAGAAATTGGAACCCTCAGATGCTACTGGTGAGAATAAAGAATGGTGTAGCCTAGCAGTTTCTCAAAAGGTTAAACATAGTTATCACATGGCTCAGTAATTTCAACTCCAGTTATACTCTGAGAGAAATTAAAACACATATTCACATAAGGTTATAACCAAGAGAAATTAAAACACATGTTCACACAGAAACATGAATGTCCATAGAATTATTCCAAAAAGTAGAAACACCCCAAATGTCTATCAAATGATGAATGGATAAATAAAATGTGATATATTCACATAATATTACTTGGCAATAAAAGAAGTAAAATACTGATACATACTACAACATGGATGAATCTTAAAACACTGTGCTAAGTAAAAGGCGTTAGTCACAAAGGACTGCATCTTTTCCCAGGAAAAGGAACCCTAGTAAGACAGAAAACCTTTAGACAATAACCACTCTACTTTAACCAAACAACAAAGTGAAACTTGCGGCACCACCCAGACCCGTATCAGCAAAGGCTAAGTAGGTAGCCTATACTTCCATCAATGTAAGGCTGACAGAAGGTCAATAAGGAACCAAGACTTTTACCCCTACCAGGTCAGCAGTAAGGCTCCTTCATCCCTCTGCTAGGGTGGTATCACAGGAGGAATAGTGGAGAGTCAGTACTTTCACCATCGACCAGCAATGAGGCTACCCCACTACACCATCAGTGGAAACCATGTAGAAAGCCAGAACTCCCACATATGCTCAACAGTAAAAGAGGTCTTCCCTCACACTGTGTGTCAATAGAGGCTGGGTGGGGAACCTGGACTTCTAACTCTACACGACAGTAACAAGGTGACTCCCCTATGGAAGCAATGTCAGAAAAAGACAGCTAAAATAGAATGTTTTAAGTGAGATTAAGAGTTTAAGGGAATGCTAAAAAATGTTCAAGTAACACAAAGGAAGGCAGGAAAGGCAAAACAGAAATAGAAAACAGAACAAAGAGAAAATTTAAAAAATAATAATAGTCTTAAGTTCTAATCTATAATGCATTACAATAGTTAAACTAAGTATACTAATTAAAAGATAAAAACTGACAGTGAAGTTAAAACATGACTCAATTTTATGCTGTCTAGAAGAAATTCACTTCAATTATAATGTCATAAGCAGGTTGAAAATGGATTGAAACACTCAACACATTAAAGATGTTATTCCCCTCCAAATTAACATACAAGTTGAATGTCATTCCAATACATACCCTAGCAATATTTTTTTGTAAATATAAACAGGATCAAGCTAAGATTTATGTGGAAAGACAAAGGAACTTTGGGGATAGCAAAAACAACTTCGAAAAAAAATATAAGGACCAGATGCCGAATCTCACGCCTGTATCTCAGCACTTTGGGAGCCCACAGCAGGAGGACTGCTTGAGCCCAGGAGTGTGAGACCAGACTAGGCAACATAATGATACTCTGTCTCTACAAAACATAAATCACAGTGGCACACGCCTATAGTCCCAGCTACTTGGGAGATGGAGGTGGGAGAATCTCGAGGCATGTAGATTGAGGAAGCAGTGAGTCATGATTGCTCCACGACACTCCAGCCTAGGTGACAGAGCGAGGCCTTGTCTCAGAAAAAATAAAAAGAAATATAAAAATAAAGTAAGAGGAATAAGTGAATCTAATTTCAAGACTTACACGTGCAATAATTAAGACTGTGGTATTGACAGAGTGACAGACAGAGATAAATGGAACAGAATAGAAAACTCAGAAATAGACACACCTAATATGCCCCACTGATTTTTGACAAAGGTGCAAAAAGCAACTCAGCGGAGGAAATAAAGCCATTTCCACAAATGCAAGTGGACATCCATAGACAGCAACAACAAACAAACCTCAATCACAGTCTCATGCCCTACATAAAACTAACTCAAAATAGATCAAGGACTTAAATACAATTTTTATGAAAAAGTCTTCAGAGTGTAACAGTAGACAAAAAGCTCTTAGCCTTGACACCAAAAGCATGACCTATACAAGATATTAATAAATCGAATTTCATAAAAATTAAAAAGTTTTACTCTGTGAAAGACCATGTTTAAGAGGATGAAAAGACAAACTAGAAGTGGAAAAAAATATTTGCAAACCACACATTCAACAAAAGACTAGTATCTAGAATATATAAATAACTCAAAATTCAACAGTAAAACTACAATTTTATTAGAAAAGGATCAAAAGACATGAAGAGCCTTTTTACTGAAGAGGGAAATAAGCATATTAAAAGATGTTCACCATCATTAGCCACTACGGAAATGCAAATTAAAACCACAACGAGATATCTCTACGCAGCTATCATAATTGGTAAAATAAAAGTAGTGACAACACCAAAACACTAGTGAAGATGCGGAGAAATTGGATCAGTCACACAGTGCTAATGAAAAATGTAAAACAGTAGAACCAGTGTAGAAAACAGGTTAGGAGTTGCTTAAACTCTAAACATGTAATTACCACATGACTCAGCAACTGTATTCCCTAACCCATTTTTCCCAGAGTAAGTGGATGTTTGTAGCAACTTTATTTATCATAGCCAAAATCTGGGAAAAAACTCCGAAAACAAACTGTATTATATCTGCACCATGAAATAATCTATATCATGAGCAATAAAAAGGAACAGATGATTGACACATGCAACACCTGGATGAATCACCAGGTAATTACGCTATGTAAAAAATGCCAACCCGAAAAGGTTATATATGTTATGATTCCATTTATATAACATTCTTGAAATGACAAAATTACATAAATGAAGAACAGATTAGTAGTTGTGAGGACTTAAGGAGTTGGCGAGAAAAGGGAAATGGGTGTGGCTCTAAAAAAGGAAACAGGAAGAATCCTTGTGATGATGAAGTTATTCTTTATTTTAATTGTATCAATCAATGTCAAAATCCTCGTGGTGACACTGTATTAGTTTCATAAGATGGTACTACTGGGGGAAAATAAGAAAAGGGTACATGAAATCTGTCTGTATATATATTTTTAATTTTATATTATCTCAAAATAAAAATGGTCAGTTTTTTAAAAAGTTACCTCCCCCTTTTTTACACAAAACCATGAACCTAGGAAAAGGTTAACAAAGGGTTAAAAAGCAAAGAAGTAGTTCCCTGTTCTCAGTTTAATATGATTCTTCATTCTCTTGCAATTAGAAAAATCTTTCACATATAAGATTAAATAGAAAATATACTGTGATTCTAAATAATATAATCACCTTACCAATGTTCCCTGGAAATTTCCTGGCTTCTTATACCACAGTTTGTTGCCTCCTTCTTCACAGACACATAGATGATCCATGAGACCATTACTATATACAAAACATTTTCCTGGCAAAGAAGATTCCAACAGCCAACAATTACCTCACATAACCTTTATTATTTTTACAGATGAACAAATTGACATCACAATGAGGAAACTAGAAAATTATGAAAAGAGAAAGAATCTTGAAAAAGATAAATAACCATCTCTACTTTTTAGGATGAAACAGACGTAATTAATTTGCTTTGCTTAATGCTACTGCAATGCATTCTAAACTCAGAGTTGTTAAAAGTAACTGCAAATTAGTACTTTATGTTTTCAGAACTGTAGTGAGAAAATGGCTGGGCACAGTGGCTCATGGCTGTAATCACAGTCCTTTGGGAGGCCAAGGTCAGGGGACCGCTTGAGGCCAGGAGTTTGATTTCAGCCTGGGCTACACAGTGAACCTCCAACTCTACAAAAAATTTTTAAAACTTAGCTGGGTGTGGTGGCACACGCCTGTAGTCCCAGTTCCTCAGGAGACTGAAGTGGGAAGACCACCTGAGCCCAGGAGGTCAAGGCTGCAGTGAGCTATGATCACACTACTGCACTCCAGCCTGGGTCGGGTGACAGAGTAAGACCTACTCTCAAAAAAAAAAAAAAAAAAAGGGCCGGGCGCGGTGGCTCAAGCCTGTAATCCCAGCACTTTGGGAGGCCGAGATGGGCGGATCACAAGGTCAGGAGATCAAGACCATCCTGGCTAACACGGCGAAACCCCGTCTCTACTAAAAAATACAAAAATCTAGCCGGGCGAGGTGGCGGGCGCCTGTAGTCCCAGCTACTCGGGAGGCTGAGGCAGGAGAATGGCGTAAACCTGGGAGGCGGAGCTTGCAGTGAGCTGAGATCCGGCCACTGCACTCCAGCCTGGGCGACAGAGGGAGACTCCGCCTCAAAAAAAAAAAAAAAAAAAAAAGTACACAAATAACTTCTTTTAAGTTTTTAAGTTATCTGAGGGAATGAAGAAAGAAGATAAAAGAAGAAAACCCATTTAGAGAGGAGAACACGGACACAAATCATTTCTATTTGTCCAGAAGAAAAATCTGTGGTATGCAAGGGAAATTCAGACAAAAATAGAATCTTTTAAAAAATATCATTCTCAATGTACATAATGCCATGCTTTGTCTCTTTTTCTGTATCTGTACTGCTCAGTCTAGCCATTTGTCACATTCGACCTAAGGTAGTAACAACTTTCTCTAGTACCAACTTCCTCCCACTTACTGGACTAAACTGTTGCCAAAATTGTCTTCTCTGCCCAACAGTATATAAAAATACGAAGCTGTGAATTTTGTAGTACTTAAGTCTGAGTGTTGCCTTCTGCTTTTATGGTTTTCTTTAATGTATAGGAAATTACCTTTTTAGCCTCTTCCTACAATCTACTCTTTCATTCATCTAAAATATCAGGGTTGTTCATTCCCTCTCACTGCTCTGTATTCAACACACTGGCTTTATATCTGAGCCAATTTTCTCACAGTCCAAACAGTGTGTTTTCTGCCACTTAAAATGTGGTTGCAATGCCATTATCTTTATAAACCTATAAAATACTAAGGAATTGCTAATCTTGCCTATCTTATAAAAACACATCATTATTTGTCTCAAATTCTACATAAACTACTATCCAGAAATTAATCAAGCTATCTGATAAAACAATACATTTCCAATCACTATATTCAAGCAACAGTTGTATGATGGTCATGAATGCTCTAACATGGGCACAACTTTTGGACACGGGAGTAAGCTAGATTCTAAGGTCTCTCACAAATATAATTCTGCTCTTACCTCTGAGGCACATCTACAAATACAAAACCATCCTTTGCTTTAATTAGTAGGTCCATACAAATGTTATATATTTATGTTTTGCCTACACCTCATCACGTACAACTAAATGGTGAAAACAAAAACGTTTTTCATGAGGGTAAGAGGCATCTATTTTAATAAATTAGCAAATAAATATTATGCAAACAAAAATTAACACATGAACATTTAAAAATCAAACATAACATTTTTAGGGTAATTAGTACACGTACCTTTGGGGAGTGGGTTGTTTTGGGCTTGGAGTCTAATTTTAACAACATCCAGGGGTGTCACTATTGAAGATATGTAAGTTTCAATTAGCAAGTGGTATCTGTAAATTGGATAGATGTTTTACAAAGAACACAAAATACACTGATTCATACTTTTCCTCATGGCTATATAATGGGTGAGCTTATTTATCTTAAAGTAGTCTTGAATGTAACATTCTAATTTTTTTGCCCTTCAATTTTGCTAATCAGTGAAAGACAGACTAATTACTTCTCTCATGAGTACTAACTGCTATTTGTAATATTCCTACAACTATCACTCCATTAGCAATAAAGTTGGTACTTGTAAGAAAATATGCTTTCTAATAGAAGAAGTAAAAGTTCCAAAGTCTTTGAGAATAACTTTGTATAAGTAATCAACAGTCAAATGATATTAGTCTTCCTAATCTGTCAAATTTACCTGTATCAAATAAGTGGTACAGATAATAAAAATTTGAGTACACTGGCCATAAAACATCTTTAGCACTAAATTATGTTATTCCATTTGGGCATAGCCCAGTAAAGGAAAATAGTTTTAATATGCATGCTATATTTTATCCAAGTAGAAACAAATGCCAAATAATGGTTCTAAGAAAACTTTTCCTCATCTTGAGAATGACAATAATCATATTAGATGATCTCTATGAGCTTTATAACTCAAATTCTGACTTGAAAATACATCATAAGCAATTAATTTATTTGTTCTAATCATTTGTCATTTGTATAAACTACCCAACTTAAAAATCATTAAAATGCTAAACTATCACCTAACTACGTCATTTGGCTACATCTACAAGAAGCTGACTGTAAGAAACAGAAAACTGTGATCCAGAGAAATTTAAGAAATTCCATTAGTGCAAAGTAAAGATTATTTGTAATTGTTGCTAACATAAATTGGTAAAATTCTATATATTCATTATGCTAATATTTTATTCCATCTTCTTGTTTTCTATTATAAAAAGGGAGAATCAGAAAAGTTTAATGTTGATAGGGACCCAAAAGAAATCCCAGTATAAGTCCCTAATTTACAGATGAAATAATGAATTTCAAATAAAAGTTAGATTTCAAACTGAGAATGGCAAAGCAAGGACTAAAAATTCAAGTCTCTTGAATCTCTGTCCAGGGTTGTTTTCATATAATAATATGATGAAATATTCATGGATCATAAATGATAGTATGTGTTGTGAGAAGTCAGGGACCCCCGAACGGATGGACTGGCTGGAGCCATGGCAGGGGAACATAAATTCTGAAGATTTCATGGGCATTTACCAGTTCCCAAATAATACTTCCATAATTTCTTATGCCTTTCTTAATCTCTTAATCCTGTTATCTTCATAAGCTGAGGATGTACGTCACCTCAGGGTCACTACAATAATTGTGTTAACTGTACAAACTGATTGTAAAACATGTGTGCTTGAACAATATGAAATCAGTGCACCTTGAAAAAGAACAGAATAACAGTGATTTTAGGGAACAAGGAAAGACAACCATAAGGTCTGACTGCTTGCAGGGTTGGGCAAAATAGAGCCGTATTTTTCTTCTTGCAGACAGCCTATAAACGGATGTGCAAGTAGGGAAGACATCACTAAATTCTTTTCCTAGCAAGGAATATTAATAATTAATACCCTGGGGAAGGAATGCATTCCTGGGGGGAGGTCTATAAACGGCCGCTCTGGTAGTGTCTGTCTTATGTGGTTGAGATAAGGACTGAAATACACCCTGGTCTCCAGCAGTACCCTCAGGCTTACTAGGATTGGGACACTCCACCCTGGTAAATTTGAGGTCAGACTGGTTCTCTGCTCTCGAACCCTGTTTTCTGCTGTTTAAGATGTTTATCAAGACAATATGTGCACTGCTGAACACAGACCCTTATCAGTAATTCTGCTTTTGCCCTTTGCCTTGTGATCTTTGCTGGACCCTTCTCAGGAGTTTGTGATTTTGCCCTTGTCCTGTTTCCTCAGAAGCATGTGATTGTTCTCCTCTTTGCCTTTGAAGCCTGTGCTCTTGTGACCTACTCCCTGTTCTTGCACCTACTCCCCTTTTGAAATCCTTAATAAAACTTGCTGGTTTTACAGCTCAGGTGGGCATCACGGTCCACCAATATGTGATGTCACCCCCGGAGCCCCAGCTGTAAAATTCCTCTTCGTACGCTTTCTCTTTATTTCTCAGCCAGCCAACACTTACGGAAAATAGAAACAACCTACACTGAAACACTGATACTAAAACTCAAATGGAAGCACTGATTCATTCAAAGTTACATAATCTATATCAGTAACATAATTTTACCTATTAGTGATGTCAGTATAGCTCCAGTACATGAGGCAAGCATTTGTTGAAGAGGTGTCACTTTGATAATCTCTTGTCCTTTTGTTTCGGGATCCATATTTTTAACTAATTAAATACAAACCTGTTAAAGAAAAAGAAAATATAAAATTAGAGCACGTCCTCTGATACTTCAAAAACGATAATGTCCTTCAGCTAAGCTGGGTGAGCAGCATCACATTAGTAAGACAACTAAGAGAGAATTAACCAAACAGATACAGACCACATAACAGAATGAAAGCAGTTGACCAGTAAGTCTCAGAGTCAGTGAACTTAGCCTCATAAACACTACTAAGAAACCCTCCCCAGTAGAGTACAGAGGTATCAGCAAATACAGCCCTTTACTATACACCAGTAGTTGTTGTACAGATGTAAAATAAAAACACATAACCTTAATAAGTTTTATCTTACAAAAATTTGAGGAGAAAAGCAACATAAAAACATAAAAAAGTCTTAAAAAGTCAGATAATACAAAACAGTATAAAAATAACTTATGAACTTACTATTCAAAAATAATCACTGCCCAGGCACGGTGGCTCACGCCTGTAACTCCAGCAATTTGGGAGGTTGAGGCAGGCAGATCATAAGGTCGGGAGATCAAGACCAACCTGGTTAACATGGTGAAATCCCGTCTCTACTAAAAATATAAAAAATTAGCTGGGCGTCTGTAGTCCCAGCTACTCGGGAGGCTGAGGCAGAAGAATGGCGTGAACCTGGGAGGCAGAGCTTGCAGTGAGCCAAGATCACACCACTGCACTCCAGCCTGGGCGACAGAGCAAGACTCCGTCTCAAAAAAAAAATAATAATAATCACCAGCAACATGAATGTCATCTTTCCAAATGTCTACGCACATACACACATACATATGTATATGTCTATATGCACACATTACATCTAACTAAATACTGTATATTAATCAAACACATGTACATTTATGTGTCTGTGTACATACAGCTTTTCTGAAAAACAGGTTAATACTATTTTGCTTGTCTAGTGGCCTGCTTTAACAAAAATATATTATAGACATTGTGTCAATAAAAACAGATTTACATTTTTATTGCTTGCACAGTAGTTAATTATATTTAATCAGTTTCAGATTGTTAGATACCAGGTTGTTGCCAATTTCCAAACTGTAAAATATTCTGCTATAATATTCTTATACATACATATATATATCTTTTTGTAACCTTCCTACAATTACTCTATGAAAAAAAGTAAGATTGATGGGATAAGCTATTTTAAAACTTGATACAGGGCCAGGTGCGGTGGCTCACACCTGTAATCCCAGCACTTTGGGAGGCCAAGGCAGGTGGATCACCTGAGATCAGGAGTTCGAGACCAGCCTGGCCAACATGGTGAAACCAAGTCCCTACTAAAATTACAAAAACGTAGCCAGGCATGGTGGTGCAAACCTGTAGTCCCAGCTACTTGGGGAACTGAGGCATGAGAATCCTGTAACCCAGGAGTCAGAAGTTGCAGCGAGCCAAGATCACATTACTGCACTCCAGCCTAGGTGACAGAGGAGACTCCGTGTCAAAAACAAAACAACAACAACAACAAAAAACCTTCATACAAATTGCTATGATGCTTTCCAGAAAGCTTGGATCAATTTATACTTCTACTGGCAATATGAGAGTTCCTACTTATGTATGACTTATCGAATTCTCTGTCAAATTACATATCATTTTTTTCTGAACCATTCAAAAGTAGGCTGCATACATCATGTCCCTTCACCATAAATATGTCAAAATATTATCTTATATAATCACAATTATCAAATTCAGAAAACAATTTTGAACAGTACTCTACAGTTCATATCCCAATTTTGTCAATGATATCGATAATGTCTTTTATAAAAATAAATGGTAATTTTATTGTTTCTTTAGACTTTTATTATCTACCTACCTGGTTTGAGTCTTTTCTTCAACTCTATGCTCCAATATTGTATTGTCTGTAACATCAGTAGCCAAAAACCTATAATTAAAAGAAAGTAATTGTCTTATCTTTTCACCCAGGAAAAGGATAATAAATCTAAAAGAAAGGAGTACATAAAAACTTCAATACAAAAACCAACGAATATTCATTAAAGGCTTTCTACTAATTGCTCTGAGGAATATAAAGAGCACTCCATAAAGGCAAGCATTAGTTATAGAAGCATTTTCACAAAAACCTTATGTTATTCTAGTTAATATACTCTGCTTTAAAAACAAATAAGCAAACGACTCCAGAGCCCAAACACAGTAATCAATCTTACCATCATTTACAGTAGAACAACCAGATTTTGTAACACAAAATTAAAGGTCCAGTATCATCTATGAAGGTTTTTTTTTTGGGAGGGGAGTATAAGAGGGGGGACCCTTTAATCTGAATTCAAACAAGCAACAAGCTTTAGATCTAACTTCCGAGTCACAGGAAATTCAGTAACTAGTGTAACAAGGTAATGGATGCCACGTAACAGTAGAAGTTGTACTCTTTTAGCTTACAGGACTACTGTCTTGATTTCTCCAAGTCAAAGGTGGGAAAAAAGGTGGCAAGGGAGATTAAATGAATCTTGAAAGAGTCAACCACCAAAAGAACCCTGGTTGAAACAAACAAATTTTTCCAGTTTGAGGGTAACTAGTGACATCTGAACATGGTCTGGTATTAGATAATACTAATTTGATATTAGACAATATTTCAGAAATCTTGTTTATTTTGTATGTAGAAATAATCTTTTAAGAGACTCATTCTAAATTATTAAGGACCATAATGTTCTAATAGCTGTAGTTTACAAAACTTCAAAAACATAAATATACTAAAATGTTAATGATTTGGTAAATCTACGTAAACATATATCATAAATATTTCATTGTTCTGTATTTTTCTGTATATGTGAAAATATGTATAATAAAAATATTTTAGTTCCTGAAACTTATGTAGAATCTTCAAGTCTAGGGAACATCGTATTTGTAACATTCATTTAAATGAGCTCCTTTAAGTGGAAAAATAATATACGTATGCTAGAATACAGGTATATTTATCCTCCAGAATGGTAAAACGGCCCATAGTACTTTATTGTTGACACTGATGCCAGCAAGGTTGACAACTTGAATATGTGCACATGAAAGTAAATCCAGAAAACTTTATTACGTTTTTAGCCATTAAAATGTAAGGAAACAAGTCAGAAATTTAGATACAACTTTTTAGAATAGTTAATGAAATTGTTTCATAACATATATACTATTTTAGAAAAATAAGTTACATCAATTATCTCCTAAAATCATGTTACCTAATTATAATGAGAACTGAAAAATGAGTCTCCTTTTCAATTTATTACAAAAATAATGAAAAAAATGCAAAACTCTACTCCCAGAGACTTGGGAGTACACGTAGAAAATGTGAGAAGCGATTATCAGTGAACTGCCTAGAACTCATAATGTATTCAACATTGCTTTAAACTCCCTACAGTTTTACCAACCTACTTATCTTTTTTCTTTGCCACTTTCTATTCTCCTATGTGCAGACACTGTTGCTTTTTCAGGGAGGACACATTCTAGTGTGATAAACCATTCTAACAAAGTATCTCTCGACTTTACTATAATAGTAGAAGATCTCATCAACAAACGTTCTGCAAGAACAGTTTTCCTCCCTCAACTCCCTGCAAAATTCTTCTTTTCTATACCTTTTCTGCTTCTGTATGCTACTGAAGTAACCATTAATAATTTATTTTAACTAGCCAACGTGGTCTTCAAGTGTAAATGGGAAGCATTCTCCAACATGAAAAACCCATGAGCCCTTCTTAAGAAACATGTTACTTAATAACAAAATTCACTTAACCAAGAGATTAATGAAGAACATTTAGTAAAAGGATTAAAGTAACTTACATTTAAGCCAGAAGACAGAAAAGTATCTACTCAGTCTCATCAGAATTTTTAATTTTTTCAAAACAAATATGTGTTAAATGCTATCTTGTAATCTTGATTTACCTTCTGCATTAGTCTGTTTTCACACTACTGATAAACACATACCCAAGACTGGGCAATTAACAAATAAAATAGTTTTAATGAACTCACAGTTTCACGTGCCTGGGGAGACCTCACAATCATGGCAGAAGGTAAAAGGCACGTCTCACATGGTGGCAGAGAAGGTAAGAGAACTTGTGCAGGGGAACTCCCCTTTATAAAACTATCAGATCTCATGAGACGTATTCACCATCACAAGAATAGGACGGGAAAGGCTCACCCCCATGATTCAATTACCTCCCACCAGGTCTCTCCCACAACATGTAGGGACTATAGCAACTACAATTCAAGATGAGTTCTGGGTGGGGATACAGTCAAACTGTATCACCTTCCCCTGGCCAATAAAGATGCTTAACATTTCTTCACATTTCTATCAGTAGTATATATTGCCTCTTCTGTAGTATGTCCATTTACATCTTTTACCTACTTTGACGTTAAGGCATGTATACTTTCCTTACTGTTTTGAGGAATCCTTTATTCCATTTAAAAAAAGAATACTCAGGAATGCATGATATGGTTTGGTTGTCTCTCCACCCAAATCTCATCTTAAATTGTAGTTCCCATAATCCCCATGTGTCATGAGAGGGAACAAGTGAGAGGTAATTTAATCACGTTCCTGTGATAGTGAGTTCTCACAAGATCTGATGGTTTTATAAGGGACTTTTCCCCCTTTTGCTTGGCACTTCTCCTTGCTGCCACTATGTGAAGAAGGACATGTGTGCTTCCTCTTCTACTATAACTGTAGATTTACTGATGTCTCCCCAGCCACAATGAACTGTGAGTCAATTAAACCACTTTCCTTTATAAATGACCCAGTCTCAGGTATGTCTTTATTAGCAGTGTGAGAATGGACTAACATATTTATTTATTTTTACTGATACATACTAGATGTACACATTTTGGGAGTACATGTGATAATCTGATATATTAATATAGTATGTCAAGATCAAATCAGGGTAATTGGGATATCCATCACTTTAAACATTTCTCTTTATGTTAGGAACATTCGAATTATTATCTTCCAGTTATTTTGAAATGTATAACAGATTATTAACTATGCTTACTCTACCAATTGATCAAACACCAGGTCTTATTTCTTCTATCTAACTGAAATTTGTACTCATTCATCAACTTCTCTTCCCAGTTTCCTTCCCCAAAACCTTCCTGGCCTCTGGTAATTACCAATCTACTTTTAATCTTCATGAGATCCACTTTTTTAGCTCCACATATGACTGAGAACAGGTGATATTTGTCTTTCTCTCTCTGGCTTATTTCAATTAACATAAGGATTTCTAGGACTTCCGGGTTCATCCACGTTGTCACAAGTGGCAGAATTTCATTCTCTTTTTACAAATGTTCTGTAAATGTCAGTTAGGCCCGTGTAGTTTAACTCCAGTGTTTCCTTGTTGGTATTATGTCTGAATGATCTGTCCATTACTGAGTGTGTGTTACTGAAGTTCCCCACTAATACTGAATTGCAGTCTCTCTCTCCCTTTACGACTATTTAAAAAATCTAATTGATATGTACTAGGTGCACCTATATTCGAGGTGGATGTGATAATTTAATACATTCATATAATTTATAAAGTCAAATCAGTGTAATTGAGATATCCAGCACCTTAAATGTTATTTATGTTAGAAACACGTGAATTATTCTCTTCTAGCTATTTTGAAATACACAACAGATTAATGTAAACTATATCCACCATACTGATCTATCAAAAAAATGTGCTCTTCTTTTACCAAACTGTTCGCTTTAGATCTATTAATGTTTGCTTTATATGTTGGGGTGTTCCCGCATTGGTTACATAAATATTTATAATTGTTGTATCATCTTGCTTAATTGACCCCTTTATCATTTTATAGTGACATTGTCTCTTTTTTACAGTCTTTGACTAGTAGTCTATTTTACACATGCACAGCTACTCCAGATTCTTTTTGGTTTCCACTTGCATAAATGAAATACCTTTCTCCATCCTTTCGTTTTCAAATTGTGTCTTTATAGATTAAGTGGGTTTTTTGTAGACAGCATATGGTAGGGTCTTGGTTTTCTTAATCCATTTAGCCATTTTGTGTCTTTAAACTGAGAACTGAATCTATTTTTATTCTGTATTAGTACTAATAACTTGCCACTGCCATTTTGTTGTTTCTTTAACGGCTGTTTTCTAACTTGTCTCCTCTTCTTTTCTTCCATTCTTACTGTTTTCCTTCGTGGCTAAGTGATTTTCTTTGTTAGCATGTTTTGATTTTTTTTCTTTCTTTTTCTCTCTCTCTCTCTCCTC